TCCACACAGAGCTCTGTTTAGTTATTATTAGATAAAACACAGACACACAGAAAACTGTAGCTGCATGTCTGATTGGCTGATCTACACCAACTCACATTTGTCCTCGTTTAAGTCCTTCTCTGTGTGTTTCACGTCACTATACTGGTTTTTCATAGTAGTGGTAGTTTGGATGATGGTCAACCTTCTGAGGCCTGCTTGACTGAAATGAAGGGCAGCAGATGGGGATGGACTACAGCATGTTTAAGGGTGATAGAAGGCAGCTGATGGTTACTGTAATGTAATTAAGGACTAAATGTGTTAGGCCTGTAACAAGCAGCTTCCCCTAAAGTGGATCTACTGTGTTAGATCACTGTATTATCCTCAGTGTGATTGTTTGTATTTTATTGCTTTGCTTTTTAAAAAAAACTTTTTTGCTAAAGTTTTTTTTTCACTATATACTAATCAGTCACAGCATTAAAACCACTGGAAGGTGAAGTGAGTAACACTGATTGTCTTGTTATAGTGGCACCTGTCATGGGGTGTGATATGTTAGGAGCAAGTGAACATTCAGTTCCTGAAGTTGGAAGCAGGAAAAACAGACAAGCTTAAGGACCTCAGTGACTTTGACAAGAGCCAAACTGTGATACTAGACGACCGGGTCAGGGCAGGTCTTGCTGGGTGAACCCGGCCTGCAGTGGTTTCCACCTACCAACAATGGGCTAAGGAAGGACAGACAGTGAACTGGTAATAGGGTCATGGGCATCCAAGATTCACTGATGCATGTGGGGAGCAAAGGTTGTGTGAGGGTCAGAGGTCTGGTCTGATCCAACAGAAGAGCTATTGTAGCAGAGAAGTGCTCCTCTCCTATTTTGATTCACACAATACACTTAGTTGGCTAAAACTAATGCAGCATAAAACAACGGTCATGCAATAAATCCTCCATTCATGAGGGTGATAATGTTCAGTTGTAGTTGAAATTGTAATTTGTGCTGTTGTTGAATTGCGCTGCATTATACTGCTGGGTATTTCTGTTATTTCGTCCACCCTGTTTTTCTAAGTGAGGCCAGGCTATATAATCAGTACATGGACAGCAGCACAAACGTCAGCCTCCCAAATGATCATCAACACAGTTTACACAAAACGGAGCATTCTCGTCTTCATGAAGGAGGATTTATTCCAGGACTGTTGGATTAAACGGCACTGGTTTTAGGTAGGTGTACCTAATAAACTGCCACCAGTGTAAATGCACTCCAAGGAAAATGTTGTTTCTTTCAGCCTTGATAACAGAGCTGTGTTCAGCTGAGAAACCAGAGATCACTGATCAGACAAGACACCCATTCATCTGTGTGACCTCTGATCAGTTAACCCAGTCACAGGTGGCAGTGACATTGGGATACAGTTACATACCTTTGTTTGCCAGAATAACTTTAGTTCCTGCGATCGTTGGCTGAATTTTAAAAAGTAAAACGGCACAGAGAGGCTTTGTGTGTTTGTCAGAGAGAGAACAAGGACAAAGCATCAGTGACTTTGGTGAAGGTGGTTTAAGTTAAACCACACCATGTTCTGATTCAAACTGCCCCCAGAAACACTTTTCTTTTTCCATTGTGGCTTTTTAATGTGAAATGTGAAACAGTTCACCGCCCTAATCTGGTTGGGTTCAGTATTGTTTTTAAGAATATTTGACCAAAATTTTACCAAACAAATTGAAAGCTTCACAAACATATCCTGAAAAAGACTTTGAATTGTGCAGACTTTTTAAATGCATTTAAAACACTTTGTTCCTAACACCTAAGAACAACTACAGATGCACGTGTTTACATATGCAGATTTAATTATTCATACAGGCATGAGAATAGATGAACGAAGATGGGGTTGCCCACTGAGGCAGCTTATACAACATGTGGCCAGATGTATGTGCTGGAAACGGTGAACTTATGACTGACTTCCACTTTACTTGGGAGATGTTTGTCTTCCCAGCATCTTCATAGCTAATTCTCAGGAACCAGTATGGTTTCTGTGGTGTGTCAGGGCTGTAGATGCTTGGAAAAGCATCTGCCAAAACCAAAGCAAACAGAGAAGTAGCTTCCTTACATACAGTAGCTTTTTGACGCTCAGCTCAAGCCTCATCTTGTCTTCATAATGAGTATGAGTTTACATGTCTCTTCCTGTTTACCAGACTTTCTCTGTGTCAAGTTTTTAATTTAGTGGAGCTTTAGAGTGAATGAACAAGTGGACTGTTTGCTTTAGGGGGTGTATGGTGGGACTTCATCAAAGACTGGATATGTTACAAGTGTGTGTTGATCTGCCGTCTCTTTGTAGTTGTGTGAATATGTTTGTACAACTTAACCTAGGCAGAAATGGCTGTCTTGGTCAGGGCATCCTTGGAAAAGAAGGTTTTAACCTCAGTGGGACTTCCCATGGTAAAATATTGGTTAAATAAATAAACATCATTTAAAAACATGTAAACACACAGGGGTTCCTGAGGACGGGGACATACATAACCTCCGGCCCACATTCTTCAACAGTCATCCAGTATGTGGCTGGTCAACCTCCGGCCCACATTCAACAGTCATCCAGTATGTGGCTGGTATTTATAGCTCCAACAGCGATGTCACATTGGCAACCAGTGATAAAGAAGCAGGATCCCAAAAACTACCACTTCCTCTCTGGGTATGCTAAAATCAGCGAACCACATTAGTGCTGACACTGAAAATCTGTTAAGGTAGCCCCCCTCACCAGGAGGGTGAGGGAGGACTGAGGTCAGGCTCAAGTGTGCAGACCCAGGTGCTAGGGGGAAAAACATGACGGTAGCAGGTAAAGAAAGAGAACACACAGTATCAAAAGAACATAACATGGGAAGGTACGGTACTTGGATATGTATGATATGTAGTGTAGTGGGAATTAGCGTAGCGCGTAGGTAGTGTGGTAGAGTCAAGCCAAAACGCACAGTGTCTGTCAGCGTAGCATTCTACCAACATGTAAAGTCCGCGTTAGGTTTACTACAAGGAAATAAGTCACAGATTAATAAGTAATGAAAAACCTGTTAGTTGCAGCCCTGATCAAAATATCACTATTAATTTTGTCACATATATATAGCTTCTTGTTTTAATAGCAAACTTTTCTCATTTTTACAACATTCTTTTCACATTCTAACAAGATATTTTTTATGTTATTATGACAATTTTAGTTATTTGATTATGAAATGTATTCTATTTTAACAAGAAACTCTGTTAGAACAAAGCATTGCTTTATGTTGTTGTGCACAGAATCAACAGTTAATGTACCAGTCTGTGTGATCTGGTGGACATTTGTGCTATGGGCTCCTGACACAGAGCTATAGCGCAGGATGCATTGTGCAGGTGACTACTGATGACGCTGTGCCAGGACTCTAAGAGAGAAGCCACCAAAATAACCGTGGCACCATCACAGGACCAGATGTGGCTCTGTGTCCTGCCCTGGCACCGTCCAGGTTCCTTGGTGATTGAACAGCTGGATGAGTAGATGTCTGGCCTGAGAGGGGAGCCTCCCTCTGAGTCACTCTGCCCTAAATGGGAAAAACATTAAGAGGCTCGAGGGCTGATGCAAACCTGGAGTAAGGGCTTTGGTGACATAGGGGGGAGGAGAAAGCAGCGCTCTCTCATCCTCTGTCTGAAACTTTCCCTTCCTCCTTTTGTCTTTGCATGTTTTTTAATGAATTCCCTTTGCCTTTTTGTTGAACATGTTCCCTATACTCTAAACACATAAACAAATGCACACAGTAGGCCTATATTCATTGTGTCCACCATTTACCTACATCTTATCTACTTGATCTCAAAAATGTTTCCAGTCATGCATTTTAAAAGAACAGCTGGGAACATGCAGTTAAACCTTAGTTTTAAAAGCTATATAACTGGGGAATAATTAACTCATAGAGCATGCTATGCAAAATGACCTAACGGCAGCTGGCAGGTATGCAGTCGTTCAGCAGTGACGTTTAAACTGTATCCAGGAGGAATGTGTTGTTGACTTAACCTGTCAGGGGAGAGTGTGTCTGTCATCGTGATGGAGATTTCTGATTCTTCACAGACCGGTATGATGGTGAGATAGCAGAAGGAAGAAGTGGGAAAAGAAGATGTCGTTCTTTGGCTTGGACTGTGTCAAGAAGAAAGAGCGAGGTAAGCCTGGACCAAACAGATGCTCACCCCTTCAAATATCACACAAAGTTTAGCTCATGTGATTTGACTTGTGCCATTTATTAAATGCGAAGGTTAAAAAACACCGAAGAGACAGTTATGTGTTATTGTCATAATAGATTTCATTCTTGACCTTGAAAACAGCAGCTGACAAAAACAGTCTTGCCACAAGATCCATTTAGTAGCTGTCCTGGAGCATTCAGTTGTATTAAATGGACTTCCTCAGCAGCTTTCCCAGTTGTCAGTATGTGCAGTTATTAAGTTATTAAAGTTTATTATTTATCAAGTTGTTATGAAAATTTGACATAAAATGCTCAGAAAACAAGGAACATCTTCATTTTGCAACTCTATCCGCAGACCAAGATGATCCGTTATGATTAAAAGCCCCAGAACAGCAACTACAGAGACCTTAGCAAGATTGTACCTGTCAGGTTACTATTCATAGTACATGCTTACAATGTCATGTACTTGGACCATTGTTCAAATAGATTTTACAGATTGCTGCTTTTGCAGTGTTGACAACTTAAAATTCTTAAGGAGACTTAAAAAATAAGACTACCTGGGTGTCACATGTACACACTGCTACTGTATATACACATAGTAATCATAAACAGAGTTTTAGTGACAAAATAAAATTTACTGAAAGCAGACAGTGTGCATCGTAAATAAGAGTAACCATAAGGTTTAGGAGTGTGGTGTTGATTGGTTGGCTAGACCTCATGTACAGTGCAAAGTACAAAGGAAATGAAATACACACAACTGGAAAAAACAGGAAAAAAAGAAGTTTTAAAACTCATGAAAAACAGTTTGATGCCTCTGTGTGAACTTAATAGCTGCCAACACCTCACACATATTGTATCACTGCTTGTTAATAAATGTATGAATGTACAGTATGTTATTGTGTACTAACACCTACAACTCTGAAGTGTTGATTAGTATGTAGTACATACTGTGTAGAATTAGTAGGTAGTATATATTTAGGACACAGCTCTGGGAGGTGATGCTTTGAGCTAAATGCTAATGTCAACAAGCTAACACGCTAAACCACACCACAAGTGTCAAACATCATATTTAATGAGAGATAATACTTGAAATGACTGTAACTATATAGTCTTTTCAGCCCTAGCATTGATGGGGATACAGGTTTGGTTTCTTTTATACATCTGTACTGTAATGTGCTTTTTACTGATACCATGGCTCAAAGTCTTTGCAACACTTTTTTAATCCTTTTAATTCAAAATTTTCTCTCTTTTCAAATCAGAACTGCAGAGAAAACTCCGGGCCAATGACCGCGAGTACAACCTGTCCTTTAAGTATGCAGTAAGTATTTTTATATATTTGTGTATGTGTGTGTTTGTTGTCTTCCAGTGACTTAGGCACCCAGCCTTATCAATTTTAAGGTGTGTACAAAAACTGCACCCTAAAATAGAAAAGAGGATGTACAGCGGATGCTTCCTATGTACCTTTTCAATAAAATAGTTTACTACTGCATTTTGTCAGAACAAATATTTAAAAGAAAAAACTTCCCCTGGCCTGTCTTGATTCGTGCACGTCTGGCTGTTATCAGCAGACTGGACGTCAGCCAAAGAGCTGAAGTCGCTGCAGGGTAAACTCAACCTCCTCAGTTTGTGTTTTGTGGTGTTGCTGTCAAGGTCAGTAAAATATTAACTTTTCTGGAGGAGAAATAGATGCATGGCTGACTTCTGTTAGCTTTAATGACTGAAATGGTTCCATCAGACCAAAGAATAGCATGAAACCCTTCAGCTTGCAAAGAGCAAACAGCATTGGAAGTTCAACAGGCGTTCAAAACGCAGTGCAGTACAACTTTATGGGGGATGAAGCTGTTCAGAATTGGAAAATGGAAAAGATAAAAGGGGACATTAAATGAAAAAAAGACAAGGCAATTTAATATTTATTCATGAGTACTGGTCAGATGAATCCAAAATAAACCTGTTGTGATCAGATGGGTCCAGTGTGGACTTGGCCAGGACTACGAACACCGACTGCAGCATAGTGCCAGCTCTCAAACATGGAGGTAGGAGTGTGCTGATACTGGGCTGCATAGGTGCAAAAGGTGTACAGATGACATTTATAGATTTCATTATAAGCAGGAGATGGATTTTCTAATATGAAAATAATCCCAACACAAGAGTTTTTAAAGAAGAAAATTGTGAAAACTATGACCTGGTCAGGTGTGTCCTCTGAGCAGAACATATAACGGTTAGACTGGATCCATTACAGAGCAACTGGGTGTGTTAAATATTAAGTAAACAAACAGCAAGCAATATTGTATTATCAGTAGTGTTTAGGCAAACATTTGGAAAACTCACCATTAGTGACTACACCCAAGAGATTTCATAGGTTTTGGCCAGAGGATACAGACTGAATTTTACAATCTATGACACATGGTTTTATAGGCTAGTCCTGGACTACCTTTAATTGTCCAACAAACTAATATAACCTGTACTTATCTCATCCACTGTACCTGCCATCTCTCTGCAATGCCATGAGATAACACTCTGACTTCTGAATATCTAAAGAATATTTGCGTATTCGCCCATTATGCCTGTCTCTTATCATTCTGGATGCATTGGGCCACATTCCCATAAAACAGGCTATAAACGTTTTGTGTATTCACATTCAGAGTCCACAAAATGACACAAGCTGCTTTACACACAGACTGAGTCAATATCTATAGTAGAGCGCCAAAGTGCATTTTTCCACTGGTGGTCTGGTCTGTGGCCACTTTACACCAGATATACTGCAGCTTTGTAATGGCTGATACTGATCTGTGACTATGACAAAGCTTCACAAATACAAGGGTTTCTCTAAATGTTTTACCATTTAGAGCCTAAACATACTCAAAATATCAACTAAATGATTTAATCAGGAACATTATTTGTTTATGTAGCTGTCATTATAACAGCAAGGGTTGCTGTGTCTAGCTAGCGCCTCATTGTTGTTGGTTAAGCTGTCAAAGTCACAACAAAAGTAAAATCTACATCTTTTTATTGCCTGTTCTTCCATGATAAACATGGACAATCTCTTAATACATCTTTTTAAGTCAAAAGGGGATATACACTCACCAGCCACCTTAATAGTCACACCAGTACAATTGTATGCAATTCAGTGCAACACTTCTGCCTTAACGTCTGTGTTTATGAAGCTCAAAATGTTTGGTTTTGGTGAAATTGTCATAAGTGTATAAATTCAATCATATTTTTATTATTGAGGGCATAGTTAAAGGTGATGTTGTACTGGACAACATTATAGTCTGGCTTTCTCATGTATGTAGCTGGCGAGGACAAGACTAAAGATACACCTCTGAATATAATGTACCAGAGCCAGGCCCTTTAACTCTGGCTGTCACCAAATGCTAGTGTAAAAACATATGTCTTCAATAAAGATTTTAAATGATTCCAAACTGAAGCCAGTCCTAATATCTTGTAGAAAACTATTCCAGAGTTTTGGACTGACTATTGCAAAAGCACAATCACCTTTGAGCCTTAACTCGGATCTTTGCACCTCCAACATTAAATACAGAAGTAAAAGATTAATTGACCGACTTAGACAATAAGGTTAACATTTCAGTTAAATCATTAGGTCCTAATCCATTTAGTGCTTTAAAAACAAAAAGAAGCAGTTTAAAATCAGTTCTAAACTGGATGGGAAGCCAATGGAGTGAAGCCAGTGTAGGAGACATGCTGCATGGTCTCAGTGGTTTCAAATATGGTCTTCAGTGCCATTGGCATTGAAGCTCCACTGGACGTGTTAACATTCTGAGTGTTTGCTGACCCCGATGGCTTGCTATAATTACTGACACTGAAGAAACCAATTTTAGGTTCTTCCAACAATAAATGAGAACCAGATGTTGGCCTACCTAAGAATTCCTCATTCAAAAACTGAGCTTGAATTATCTTGAAAAAGGTTTATAAGTACAGTATATTCAGTATAAAGAAGGCTGGTGTATTCTATTAATCCTGTTTTGGTTTAACACTCAGTCTTATATTTGTCACTTGTTCTGACTTTCTTTACACTGTTTCCAGACAAACGCCATCAAGACCTCCAAGTATAATCTCTTCACCTTCCTACCTCTCAATCTGTTTGAGCAGTTTCAGAGGATTGCTAATGCCTACTTCCTGTTTCTCCTGGTGCTCCAGGTGAGGGAAACAAACACACGTATGGTTCAACCTGTCAAGCAAATTTTATGAAAACTTTTGAAGTGTCTCAGATATTAAAATACAGATGAGACTTGTTTCTTGCAGGTTTGGTTGGCGGCATCCTGAATGTTAGACACATTTGCAAGAAGATAGATATCCAAAGATAATAATTTCATGCTGGACAAAGATTTAGTTATTTTCATTAACCTCCCCAGACACCTGGAAACCAATCAGGTCACTGAGATGATTAGGCAACTCATTGATTAGGTGATTGATAGAAAATTCATCATTTGATTACATAAAATACAATTTAATAGGTCACAGCCACCCCAAGGCAGTGAGTGGTAATCAAGAACTGGAGTAAAGATGAGGCAGGTGAAATGGCACAAAACAGGAAACTGTCAAAGACAAGTGAAATGTGAGAATCACTGGCATACAAGCAGTTGAACAGGACACTTCCACAGCAGTAATGGATCCTTCTCACTGTGAAACTGTGTGTTAACCAAACAGGATATGAACAAATCAAGTGCAGTGAGATGAAGTGTAATAGCCAGTACAGGACATTGAGTCATCGCTTGCAAAACAGTTAGGTTACACACAGCTAGAGTCATGTGCAGCGGCTGCTCTCATGACAGACAAGGAGGAACTGGAGCACTATAGCACTCTGAAATGAATGTTTTTGTTTTTGATCTACAGTATATAAATGAATGGCCATCTTGCCTGTTTATGTATCAGAACTTTCCAGGGTTTAAGACCAAATGACTAAACCCATCCTGCTGCATAAGGCCCTTATTGTACATTAGATAAAAAAAACACCAGGAAATGACTTCCAGATGTTCATCTTGGTTTTGGTTTTGTTTCAACCAAGTTTCAGGGAAAATTAAAGACAGACAAGCCATGATGGGACTGAACACAACCTCCTTGGTAGACATGATTAGCCCCTTATTAGCAAACTTATCTGCAAAATCAAGAAAAGCAATATAGACCAAATTAAGTGCAAGTAAACAAGGGCTGCACAATATATCGCTAACATATTTTGGCTGTGGCGTATTGTTAAATGATGTCTTGTCGTCTCTCTTGAAACTAGTTTAAACTGTGCTCATGAGAGCCATTTTTACAAACGTGACATTCAGAGTACATCTGTCTTCAGGTTTTACCTTGGTTAAGCCCACAATAACTGGCACTAACACCTTTCTGTTTGAAATTAATGAAATGGTTGTTTCAGGTTATCTTTTCACTGAAGCCTTTCTGCCTCACTGTCGGGATTTCCTACTCTCTCGTTTTCGTCTATTATATGCAAAACTAATGTCAAAGTAAACAAAGGAATTTGTTCCATTTGTGTTCTTCAGGTGATTCCCCAGATCTCCTCTCTGTCCTGGTTCACCACTGTTGTGCCTCTGGTCCTCGTGCTGGTAGTCACCGCTGCCAAGGATGCCACTGATGATATTGTAAGCACATGAGAAAAAGTGATGCATTTCACCTTAAACACATTTTACACAAATGTCCACTTGGTCTCGATGATGAACTAATTAGATTTTGGTGCCTGAAAATCAGAAATATCAGTGCTTTACTGACTGTAATACCTCACATGTTTAACATTTACAATAGAAAATGAATGAATATGAGAATAAAGCAGTAAAATAATCCATTAAAAACCTTACAACTGCCTTACTGCAGTCATGAAATACTCCCACATTTGTGGGAAAATGACATCACTATAGTGCGTTAGTTGGTTACTGATAACATTCATGGGAATTTTTGAAAGTGATTCACTGATTAACTGAGTTTTCTGTGACCGCGTGTGACTCAGTGTTGCCATGTCTGTGTGCGTCTTCTTTCCAGAATCGCCACCGGAGCGACAATCAAGTGAACAATCGAAAAGTTCAAGTCCTTATTGATGGAAAGTAAGTTTGTATGTGTACATACAAGTTTGTTCATGCACAGTGAATCATGGGAAGTGCACATTCTCATATGTTTTTGTCTATTTAGAGATGCCATCTGTACAGGTAGGTTTATCTAAGGCAAGCTTCTTGGGAGCCCTTTACCTTTCACAGAAAGAAAGTATATACACATACTAATCATAAACAGAGTTTTAGTGACCAAAAAATTTTTTATAGTATCTTATTTGACAAAGGTCCATACTCTTTTACATGGTGTTAGCAAGCTGCCGCTTGCTGCAAACATTCACTGCGTTTGTCCGGAGCACCAACAAACTAAAAGATTTTTATGTCTGCTGCTGAAATTTGAAACATGAGCATGAACTCAAACATGATTGTAAAGAGCATCAAATATTTGTGCAGCAGCCAGGTCATTAAAATTCTCATTTTTGTTGGCAGACAGATACACAGAAATAATACAGGAAACTGGCAGGAACATGCAGTAAAGGAAAGTCGGTAGTATTAGGATGACCTTGGTGGTCGGTGCTTATGGCTGCTCCCTGAGAGAGTGCATTTCCTGAGAATCATCAAAGAAAAGGGGAAAAGTTTTCTCTGAGCACCAGATTCGTACAAGGCCACATACACACAAACATACACCGTCCAAATATCCACTTATCAGCCTGTTTCCTGCTCTCAGATTACAGAGCGAGAAATGGATGAACGTCCAGGTGGGAGACATCATCAAGCTGGAAAACAACCACTTTGTCACTGTGAGTGAAACTGTGAACATCACAAGTTTCTCCTTGTCCATGTTTCTTCTCCTTTCACCAACATTTCACCCATATTTGCATTTTGTTTGTGTGCTTTTGTCCCATATTGGTCTTCTTGATTTAATATTTTGTTCCTGTGCTGACAGCTTTCATTAACCTTTTCATCTCTGAATTTCTTGTTTCACCTTGCAGATCTGATATGTGTGAAAAGAAAGTAAAGAATCAAAGACCTTGAAGGCTGAAGAGTAGCATGACTCTGTATTTATACAACCTCTCGTTTTCCTTTGCAAAAGAAACACTGAGATTCTTTGATAGAAACATTAATAGATAAGCGGTATTATATTATTATTGCCCTGTTACTGATCATACATTAACAGTATAGTATATAGTTCTAGTAATATGATGAATGGGACAGTTAATGGTCTCATTCTGATGCACAGTATGAGACCAGTTCAGGGTTCACTGCTTATCATAATGACAAACTAACAACAGGGCTCACTGATACATGTGTCCTCTGTCATTTCAGGCTGACCTCTTGTTGCTCTCCAGCAGTGAACCTCTCAACCTGGTGTACATTGAAACTGCAGAGCTGGACGGGTTAGTATGCTTGTTGTGTTACAAAGTGTTACAGCTTGTTAGCTTGTTCATCCAATCCCAGCTGACATTGGGTGAGAGGAGGGGTCCACCCTGGACAGGTTGCCAGTCTATCACAGGGCTGATACATAGACAAACAACCACACACCTACAGGCAATTTAGAATCACCAGTCAACCTAAGCTGCATGTCTTTGGACTGTGGGAGGAAGCTGGAGTACCGGAGAGAACCCATGCAGGCACAGGGAAACCTTCTACACACTCTGTACAGAAAGGCCCCAGGTCAGCCGGTGGCTCAAACCCAGAACCTTCTTGCTGTGAGGTGATGGAGTTAAACACTGCAACACCGTGCCAGCCCTTGTTATTATTTAACATACAAATTATGCAACACGAACAGCACACTGCATGGTATTCATATTCTCTCTTATTTTTGTACTGCTTTATTTCTACCCTGCCCCCTCCTCCTCTTTGTCTTCCTTCCTCTCTTTGTCTGTTTCAACCCCCCAATTCCTCCTCTTCCTCAGAGAGACTAACCTGAAGGTGCGACAGGCCCTGCCAGTGACAGGAGACCTGGAAGATGACATTGCAAAGCTGGCAGATTTTAACGGTAAGGCTGCTATAGGTGGACCAACTTTGGGATGAAGTGTTTTGGAAATGAGAAGCTTGCACAGTATGATCTAATTTATCTTCTGTCAACAGGATATGTTTATGAATATGGCTTTTCATAGTCTCAAATTGAATGTGTCTCCTCTCTTTCCTTCAAGGTGAGGTACGCTGTGAACCCCCTAACAATCGCCTTGACCGCTTCACAGGAACTCTGACCTATGCCGGTCAGAAATATGCACTTGACAATGAGAAGATCCTGCTGCGCGGCTGCACCCTGAGGAACACCGAGTGGTGTTTTGGACTGGTGCTCTTTGGAGGTGGGGAGGAAGGTTCATGGACATTATTAGTAGAGAACTACTGTAGTGAAACTGCAAACCTTGTGACCATAGAAAGTCAGATATGACTCCTGTTTCACTTTAAAATAAGCAATGTCAGTTGAGCTACAGGAAGATGATATCATCAGTTGAGGTTTTGCCTGTTTCTGTTCCTCCTATTGTAGGTCCAGAAACAAAACTGATGCAGAACTGTGGGAAGAGCACATTCAAGAGGACCAGTGTGGACCGCCTGATGAATGTCCTTGTCCTCTGTGTGAGCCCTCCTCATTATTTGTCTGCTGTTTAATTTTTTTAAGTTAATTTATCTGCCCAGATTCAGCTTGTTAACTTCATTGCCAGTGCTTATCGCTTAAAGGAACTCATCCAACAAGGCCTCGTTAAATTCTCTGTTCTTATGATTAGCAACTGCAAATGACATGTTAAAAGTTTCCGGCAGCAGCGATTAGAGCTCCTCTGGGGCAGTAGCCCAGAGCAGTGGTAAAGAGAAAGACAGAGGAAAGAGCACCACCCACACAAGCTGTAACTTTATCAGTGAACTAGGAAGACAACACAGAAGAACATGTTAAAAATGCTTTAAGAATTTCCACCAAACAACTGCTTTTGTAAAACTTTAATAACGTGAGGTATATAAATATACAAAATAGTTAACTGCAAGAATTTGACGTACAGATGTAGAATCCATGTCAACGGATCATAGTTCATGATATATGCCTGTTTTAAATCTGTTTACATAATCACAGATGCATCACTAATTACTGAGATAATACAGTATTTTTATAGAATATATTTTTGTCTAGTGTTAATTAGAGCTGATTTGTGTTTCTTACCTCACATTCCTTTTGCCCTAGGGCTCAGTTTGACCTCTGACTTCTAAGATTTGACTTCTTTGTTTTCTCCCTGCAGATTTTTGGCTTCCTTGCCTTCATGTGCACCATCCTGGCGATAGGAAACGTCTTTTGGGAGCTGAACGAAGGCTCACACTTCACAGTCTTCCTGCCCAGACAAAATGACAACAATGCTGCTTTCTCTGCCTTCCTCACATTCTGGTCCTATGTCATTATCCTTAACACTGTGGTGCCCATATCTCTATATGTCAGGTAACAACCTGTGTGAAATTGTTAATTATTTAATTAGGAGCAAAACTTTGTCTTTAAAGGAACCTACCTGATGTCAAACCTAAAGTGAGAGTAGGGAGAGGAGTAATCAGTTCCCACATCCACGTTTTTTGGCAGTGTGGAGATCATTCGTCTGGGCAACAGCTTCTACATCGACTGGGACAGGAAAATGTACTACGCTCGCAGCGACACCCCTGCTATGGCTCGGACCACCACGCTGAATGAGGAGCTGGGCCAAATTAAGTACATCTTTAGTGACAAAACAGGGACGCTCACCCAGAATATCATGATCTTCAACAAGTGCTCCATCAATGGCAAAACCTACGGTGAGGTTCAAGACGTTGGCCTGTGATTTTTAAACTGCAGAGTGTATAAGCCACCAGAAATGCAAAAGGAAGAATTTAGGGTTCCTTGCACAAAGATAGCAAAATAGAAGCCAAATCAGGTTTGTGAATGCACCTTCTGGGTTCGTGAAGTTGTTTCAGGAGATCCGCTTGGGGTCTCTGTGGTTTTGGTCTGAAAAATTACTAAAGGTCATTTGTCGCATTTTATATCTGTAAAGAATTTAATGAATAGAAAGTAAATAAGTTTCTGCTTCTGGAGGTTCCTATCAAGTTATTAAATGCATTTTGCGCTCATTTTACAATATGCACTGTACCCTTAATCATGTTGTCATTCTATAGTAAAAGTCCATTGTGTGTACTGTATTTTTAACTTTTTGGAAAGATTTGTCTTTTTTTATTTATTTGCAGGTGATGTGTATGATGACACAGGCCAGAGATTAGAAATTACTGAGGTGAGTTGGACTCGGGTGATGCTCATACTGTACATCCGAAACAGCAGGTTGGTATACTAGCAAATTGGTTTGTTTTCTAACATGTACAACTAATATTTGGTGAAGGTTAGAGCAAGAAACTAATTTGCTGGGCACAAACCCTGTTTTTTCACAGTGACGTGAGGCTCTATATATTCTCATCCTTCTATGCTGGCCTGGTCTGGTCCCACTTTCTGCTTTGCTGTACACATGAGTCATTTTAAGACATTTGAACTAATGATGCCATGAGTTCTAATCATACTCTCTAATATTTTAGGTATTTCTTATATAGCCTTACCTTATTCTATGAATCCCACAGGTATTTAAACTAAAATTAGGTGCTGTCGTAACATCTTGACAGCTGCTTACTCATAGTTAATCTTCTTGCATTTATGTCACTGGATTGCATCAAACTAGATGACACTTTAGTTTTTCCATGGAAGAATTCTGGTGGATAGTTATGCATGTCACACAGTTGTAGTTTTTACAGTTTTAACACCTTGCCGCTGTACATTTAATAAGCTCACTGTAAACATGAGTAGGTGGAAACAGCAACCTGACCAGCTCACATATGCTTTTCTTTCACTGCCTGTGTCTTTCTTCTCTCTTATCTCTCCAGCGTACAGAGAGGGTGGACTTCTCATTCAACCCGCTGGCTGACCCTCGCTTTGTGTTCCACGACCATGCCCTGGTGGAGGCGGTGAAGCTGGAGAACCTAGAGGTCCACGCCTTCTTCAGACTGCTGGCCCTCTGCCACACCGTCATGGCTGAGGAGAAGAAAGAAGGTGAGGAGACATGAAGCATTTCTGTGGGAGCAAGTGAAACACTTTTTTGTCTTTACAGAGATGAGAAGAGTATTTTATTATGGAAAGGATTAATACAGATCTCATTCCATTATTCCCGTTTTTGTCACGTGTTGTGTGTGTACAAGAGCATCATCAAACACGTACAGATGTGAAGCGCAAGTTGGCATTTGACCTTTAATCTTGGTGGTAAAGTTTATGCAATTCAGTGCTCTGAAAACGAATGGCTTTAGTCTGTATTGAAGAAAAGGACTGAAAAAGAAGGAAGAGATGAGAATGTTTTCAAAATCACACAACACAAAGTAGACACCACAGAAGAATTCTACTTCCTCTGCTAAGAATAAATAACAGTTAAATAATAAATAATGATGCCTCCTGTTGCAGGTGAGCTTTTCTACCAGGCGCAGTCTCCAGACGAGGGAGCGTTGGTAACAGCAGCCAGAAACTTTGGGTTCGTCTTCCGTTCACGTACTCCGGACAGCGTTACTATCGTGGAAGAGGGAGAGCAGCGCAGCTATGAACTCCTGGCCATCCTGGATTTCAACAATGTCCGCAAGAGGATGTCTGTTATAGGTATTTAACACACTGAATCGAATATATACGGTTTATATCACCTCCACACCAGACCATGGTGAATCATAGCACGTTTTCCCTTTATCTAGACAAAACTGTATTTTGGGTTCTTATCTTGAAACACGTAATTGTTCTCATGTATGTGTGTGTGTGTGTGTGTGTGTGTGTGTGTGTGTGTGTATGTATTTGTGTTTACAGTGCGGAGTCCAGAGCGAAAGCTGTCTCTGTATTGCAAAGGTGCAGATACAATTATCTATGAGAGGCTGCACCAGTCCTGCAGCAAGCTGATGGACGTCACTACAGAGCACCTTAATGTCAGTAACATGTCTGTGTGTGTGTGTGTGTGTGTTCATTAACGAGAGAAATAGAAGACAAGAGACGTGATCCTCAGACTGTCTCAAAGTCCTTCACATTCTTTTTCTGGCTTGTTGCTAGATGCTTGTCTCTGCATGGTTGTGTGGTTCTGTGTGTTTATAGAAGGTCATCCTAGTGTGCGTGTAGCCCATCCAGCTGTGGACATAAAAGTTGGATGAAGCACATAGCCTGATGAAGGCATCAATACCCTTTGTGTGGTTGGAGCACTTTCAAAGCAAATTTATGAAGTGCTTCTGAAATTTATAAAATACCAGAAAATAGAGAAAATGCCCGTTTCTCCAACATAAAGAAAAAGCATACACAGCTGGGCACAGGTTTCGCTTCTGTTTATATCTTAAAACACCAGCAACTGGCATGTGTGTTGGTTCTTCCAGGACGTGTTTAGTGTATTTTATATGTGTGTATCCACATGTGCAATGTTCATCCATATGGGAATGTGCATGCTAATCTGCAGGAGTTTGCAGGCGAGGGCCTGAGGACTCTGGCACTGGCCTATAAGGACCTGGATGAGGAGTATTTCAGCCAGTGGAAAGAGCGCCACCACGAGGCCAGTACTGCACTGGAGGACCGGGAAAGCAAGCTGGACCAGCTGTACGAGGAGATAGAGCAGGATCTGCTGGTAGGAAAAATACTGTAAAAACATTGTTGAATTTTCACACAACATGTTGATGATGTTTCTGAATGTGTTTGTCCAGCTGCTTGGAGCGACGGCCATCGAAGACAAGTTACAAGATGGAGTTGCTCACACTATCGAGCAGCTGTCCAAAGCTGACATCAAAATCTGGGTTTTGACTGGTGACAAACAAGGTACTTAACTCCAAATATAATGAGAGAATTGAATTCATAACCTATTACTAACACTTTTGGATGGGGAGTCATTCATCTTTCTTTACAGAGACAAGACTAAAAGGATTTGTCACATGCAATTAATCAGTTTTATGTTTAGCAAGCACCCAGCAGGAGAAGGTGCTGCTTTTTCAACTAGCTTGTGTAGAACTGCTCAGCTGGACCTATTGTGTAAAACATCTTAATGGACAGCCAGCCAGCCAAAATGAGCAAAGGCCTCAACAGTGGGATTTTGCTTATTTGGATAACCCGGGTGACCTTGAGGCTCCACATGGCTTCTAGGATGTTTGCATCAATATAGCTCCTATTTTATGATGCACACTGACAATATACTCCTGTAGGTTTAGGGTGTCATTGGACACAATGCAGTTTACTGTTATATACAGCTTGTCATTGTGTAATATTTGTATTTTTGTTGTGTGCTTCATGTCTGTGTACTCACTGGTGATACATATCTGTGTTCCAGAAACTGCAGAAAACATTGGTTACTCTTGCAACTTGCTGCGAGAGGAGATGAACGAGGTCTTCGTCATCTCGGGCAGCTCACCCGAAGAGGTCAGACAGGAACTGAGGTCAGAGGAAGTTTACAAAAAGTCTTTCAGTGCACACTGAAGTGATTGTCCTTTACTCAAGCTGATTATGAAACATCTCCTTATGTCCATCCACCGTTTGTTTTTTTTTTGTGGAACAGACATGCGAGAAGCTCCATGAAACCAGATGCAGCAGATTCAGTGTTACTGCCAGAAAGGACTCTGGTTAAAGGTGTGAAAGTGATCACAGACGAGGAGGTTAATGGAGAGTATGGCCTGGTTATCAATGGACACAGTCTGGTACGCCATAAGGACATTCATACATGTTGTACATGGACTGTATGAATTTAATCATCATGTCTTGCTTAATACTAAAAACAAACTACAACCTTATGTAAGGAATCTATAAAAGGATGCACAAAAATGTGCATTTTCTCTCTTAATGACTTTGATCAATGAAATTTTGAATCAGATTTGTCATTCGTTAGTAAGTTACAGCTTAATGGTATTTTAGCTTTTGGAAATCTGCCATCACTGTCACTGTAGGTAACATTTTTAGGTGTTGTATAACTTCTGCACTTCATCACATTCATATTTTTGTCCCTCAGGCATACGCTCTGGAGCGCAGCATAGAGGTGGAGTTTCTGAGGACGGCGTGCATGTGCAAAGCGGTGATCTGCTGCAGGGTCACTCCTCTGCAGAAGGCTCAGGTGGTCGAGCTGGTCAAGAAGTACAAGCAGGTGGTCACACTGGCCATAGGGGATGGAGCCAATGATGTCAGCATGATAAAAGGTACCAGCAGAGATACAGATGGCTTTATGTGATGCTCCTCCTCCTTTTTGTCATATGTGAAAAATGTGCATAAAAACACAAATCACATTTATAATGGGAAAAATAGGAACAGAACTTACTGCAGAATTATTTCTTTCTCATAATAAAGCCTGAAATATTCTGTTGCTGCCAAAGACAAGATATCAATGTTGTTATGGTGAGCTTATGGCTTATGGCTGCTTTAAGCTTTAGTTTTCATCCAAAAAGCATTGATAAACCATGCGGTAGATTAGTCTACTGTCATAAATTAGAAAGTAGTTTGAAAGCTGATTAAATGTTTCAAAGAGTTTTTAATCAAAAGTGTCAAACATTCACTTTCCAGCTTCTTAAACGTGAGGATTTTCTACTTTTTCCATTTTATATCAATAGAGTTATTATGTGCAGCACTGAAGCTGAGTGTACACTATCTGCCTGGCACCAAACTGCATAAAGGCAAAGTTTCCTAGTTAGTGGTGAAGCCAGTGGAGCATTAAGCAGCTAAAGAGCTGGATTTTTACAAAGGACCTGGTGGAGACAATAAAGAAATTCAACTATCAGTCAACAATCAGCTAGCCATAACAATTTACTGTACTGAAAAGTGATCCCTCAGCTTGTTTCTGTGTACCTCTGCCCCCTCGTGGCCAAAAATGGATTGACACAGCTTTAAGTTGTTGGATGTGTGGTTGCTTAATTACATGTCCAAAACAAGGCGATTCAAACATCCCTCAGTACGTGCTTCTCTTGATCCCTGTTGTTTCTGAGTCATATAAGTGAACCATTTTCTCCCTCCTTTCTTTGTCCATCTAGCGGCCCATATAGGTGTTGGCATCTCAGGTCAAGAGGGCATGCAGGCCGTTCTGTCCAGCGACTACTCCTTTGCACAGTTCTGCTTCCTGCAGCGCCTCCTGCTGGTGCACGGCCGCTGGTCCTACCTGCGCATGTGCAAGTTTCTGCGTTACTTCTTCTACAAGAACTTCACCTTCACCTTCGTGCACTTCTGGTACGCCTTCTTCTGCGGCTTCTCTGCCCAGGTGAGAGTGAGGAGATGGGGAGTGACAGAGGTTTTTTCTTTCCCATAAACACCCGGGTTTTTTTAAATAATACCTCACATATAGAGTGTAACGTATTATGCAGAGTACATGTAGAGTACACCATCAAACAAATACACAAACACAATTCTGCCACTAACATACCCTTACCCAAGGTCAATTTGACACTGACAGTAAACCTACTCATTATCTCATTTTGTTTATGCTTTAATGTTGTGTTTTTTATTCTTTTTAACGTATGTAAGGTGTTTGTAGCCATCTAAGATATATGTTTAAGTTATCTTAAACTTAATCTTAAGTCAAGTTTTTGTGTAATTCATGTTGTGAATTCACTTTTCATTCTAAAATTTAAAAAAGGAGGCAGGGACCTGGGGTAGGAGATGGCGTGATGTTTAGAGGAAACATGAGGGAGGAACATGGTGAAAAATAGAAGTTCACAACAGTCACAGATGCAAATAGAGAAGAAGGATATTTGAAAAAAGTACATGAAGTCATTTTTTTTAAGGAAGATGGAAATGGAGAACCTGTGATTGTATTGTAACATTAAGTTTGACAAAGGTATTAAAAGTCTCTCTTCTGTTTTTGACTTTGTTTTTCAGACAGTGTATGATGAGTGGTTCATAACACTTTACAATCTGATCTACACGGCACTTCCTGTACTGGGAATGAGTCTGTTTGATCAGGTAAGTATTTGATGTACATATGCATTTACATTTTTCCAGAAAATGACAAGGCAGTAAATTTAGTCCCTTTATATAAACACCTTTTATACGTGAATGTGAGCTCAATGGCTTTTATATGTATTAATATGGAAGATTTCCAAGACCAAAAACATGGAGCTAAGTGGATAATGTTAGGACTTTACTCATTGACTTGGAGGCGGTATGAAGCCCAGAGCTGCAGCGTGTAGTCAGTGCCATCTGTTCTATTTGGGGCCAGGCCCTTCCAGATAAGGAGTGTTGCCTTTGTCCTGTTACCTCACACTGATCGCTAGCTTACTGAGATCACCGGCCACACTTCCCTCCTGCTACCTGCTGGACTATGAAACCTTACATTACAGTAGACTCTCCTAAGTGAAGGCATCTACTTACTAAATGTTAAAAGACACAAAGCTGTGTGTGATAACAACAGTTGCAACTTCACCTAAAACACTAATATCTTTGTTTCCCTCTGCTGGCCAGGATGTGAATGACATGTGGAGTTTCCAGCATCCTCAGCTCTACATTCCTGGTCAACTCAACCTGTTCTTCAGCAAGAAGGCCTTCTTCACTTGTGCCCTTCACAGCTGCTACAGCTCCTTGATGCTCTTCTTCATCCCCTACGCAGCCATGCACGACACAGTCAGGGATGATGGGAAGGATGTCGCTGACTACCAGTCTTTCGCCCTCCTCACCCAGACATGCCTGCTGTTTGCCGTCAGCATCCAGGTATTAGGGACCTGGTCTTCTGCATACCCAGATCTTTTCTCTCAAGCTCAGAATAACAAGAACTGCACATGTGTGCTCTGTGTGTCTGTAGTTGGGGCTGGAGATGTCTTACTGGACAGCGGTGAACACATTCTTCGTACTGGGCAGCCTGGCCATGTATTTTGCCGTCACATTCACCATGTACAGTAATGGCATGTTTCTCATGTTGCCATCGGCCTTCCCTTTCATAGGTGGGTGGAAAACTCTCACCAAAGAGTTGGGCTGGTGGCCACAGGTCATTTCATTTGGAAGGTGACTGTTTACATGCACGTCTGCTTCAAAGAAAAGCTTGGCTCATACATTTATACAAGGCTGCAGCATTATTCAAATTCAGTCTGAATTTAGTTTGGTATCTTTACACAGGAAAATTATCTGGTTCATGACTAAAACAAATACCAAACCTGGCTTGGATCAGTTGTGCACAGGGCAGCCAAACCTTGTTTGGTTACGGTCTTTCTCTGCCCATTGAATATACTGTCACCTGTACTGAAACCTGGCAAATGCTTTCTTAGATGTATTTTTTATTTATTTTTTCAGATTTAAATAATAATTTTCTTAAGTTCAGACTGTATTTTATGAAACAAAGTTCTACTATAACTGATTGTGTTGGCAAAATAAGCATAGATGTATTTGGGAAGTTTGAATTATTTTGTTAAAATAGAAACACATTTCTTCCAGATGTTTGACCAGCAGCCTAAAACCTACAGGTATTTTACAGTCACATAACATAAAGACAAGTCCTCACAACTGAGCTGGGACTGGAATTAAAAAAAATTTTTTTTATTATTGTTTGGCTTTTTTCCTTGAATTGATTACCAGTGGTTAAAGATAATTTTGTTTCAATCAGTTAATGGACAAAATGTTTCAACAACATGTAAATGAATGGCTGGAACTGAAGGAGCATGTTATATCATCTTTCATCCTCCTCATCACATTTTGACAACAGGCAGGTTTGATCCTGAGGTCCAAAAGAAACATTTAGTAAGCTGGTGGTTGAGAAGGACATTGGCAGTGCATTAAGATTTTTAATACATAAGGATGTTCTGCAAGTTTAAGGTGATATATCACTGTCCATCCCTTTGATTTTAGGTACTGCATGTAGCATCAACCTGTAAAGTTAGACAGTTTGGAGTACTAACACAGAATTGTATATGTGTGTGTTTATCCAGGAACAGCTCGAAACTCCCTTAACCAGCCAAATGTGTGGCTGACTATCCTCCTCACCTCCATTCTGTGTGTACTTCCTGTGGTTACCTACCGCTTCCTGTTGATTCAACTCTGCCCCACCATCAACGACAAGGTACAGATGGAACTATCCCACGCTTTCACCGCGTCACTTTTGCATGCAATAAAACACAGCTGCACTTGTTATACGTGAGCAGCCATGAAAACTCAAACCTTCTTTTTAGTTTTTGGATTTATCAAGAAATCATCTGGAGCATAGTTGGTTTTGAGCAGGGGCTTTTAATTTGTAAGGCACACCACCTCCATCGCTTCCTGAGGATGTCATTACCTCCGATGTCCAGAGCTAATAAATGACCTTGAATCTGCTTTAAAATCATGCATATATACACTATCTAAACCCCAGGAGATATTTCACCCTCTGCTGCTCTTGTAATTTTTTATTTGACTTTAACAAAAGTCTAACTTCAGTACAGTAGATTTGGGATAGACTCATCGAACTTCTGGCTTCTCGTAGACCCAGCAACGACCTAAATGAATCCTAGGATGTGTCTGCAAGTGTTTGGATACATGTGTCTCTGTCCCACATTTTGACTGTCACTCTCTGGCCAAACTTTCAGGTCATGTTCAAAGTGAGACAGGCCAAAGCAACACTTCCCCCTCCTCCTCGACGCGCCCGCATCCGCCGCACCAGCTCCCGCCGTTCAGGCTACGCCTTCTCGCATGCTCAGGGCTACGGGGACCTGGTGACATCAGGCCGGTTCCTGCGGCGTCCTGCTATGTTTCTCTCTTCGGGTTTTGCCCACACAGGTCGCACCACCACAGGCTTCAGTCCCATGGGACGATCAGCTGGATACAGCCCGACAGGACGGCCCCAGAATGCCAAGGTTCCAGATGTGGAGGGGACTTCGCTGCAGATGTACAGGACGTTCACAGATTCTGCCCTCTGACAGGCAGCTGGCTACACTCCAGATGTTTGGAGCTGATCTGGGAGTAGGAACAATACCAACTGGACAGATGCATGGTGCTGGCAGTCAGCGGTGTTTAAAACTCCTATTTGTGCATTTGTTACCATGGAGAATTTGCTCGAGCCTTCCAGAGAACTTCATGTCCAAGATTTTTCCTGATCTGTCTTCTGCACAGTCTCCCAAGATGAGGTTTGAGACACACGTGTCATTTGCTCCTCACATTTCATTCTGAATCTTTTTTTTTTTTTTGTCTGTCAAAGTGAACTCTGACAATGTGCATCTACTTCTCCTGGGTGCTTGGATTGCTGTCCTCACATCAGGAGTGTTCACGGAGAGCACGTCTCACGCCAAACTAGCAGGTGAGAGGCAGACAGAGAACACGTGTCTGACACTCTAAACAGCAACAGGGCGATTTGTTCTGAGAAGGACAGAGTGTGGTCATGTTTACAGACTACCCAGACTTTCTTAACCCTGGGAGCCCAGCTACACAGAAGGGCTTTGTACAGAGAAACCAACCAGCAAAGCCATGTTGTGTAAAATATTTTAGTGTGTATACCCTAAGTGCTTTTTAAACCATTTTATTTTATTATCCTGAAAGCTGTACAAGCAGTTAGCACTTTGGCAGCGTCACATGGTCATGGAACCCAATGTGTGAAAGGTCATAATTGTGGGACTGAATGTAAACTGTTCCAAGGAAAACATTTTCTTCACAGTGACAAGAAATTTTTTTTTGCTGAAAGAATGTAATGACACATGCATTAAATTGGAAAAATTAAATACAGAGTAGGTTACAGGCAGAAGAGGATGCATGTGTGATCCAGTTAAAGGTATTGTAGTTCAATACTGGCACCAGAATGTGTCTCAAATGCACCTCAAGCAGATGTAGCATCCTGCTGATGTTTGATTTTATGTGCGCCTGCTGGCAAACTAAAAAGAAAAAGGCACATTTTCACCTCATCAGACAGCATGAGATGGACTGTACCAGCTGTGTAGCAACTCGTCTGCAGCACAGACTTCAAAATGTTGTCCAAGTTGTTTGCTGCAGGAATATCAACCACATCTACCTGTGCCTGTGAGGGTTATCGTACTGTACACACACTACAAACGCCCATTCAGAGACACACATCTGTCCATGTCCTTAAATAGCGTCATTCTCAGTGCAGTGTCTGGTGCATTTCCTGCAGACAGAGCTGACGACTTGTGTCAATAGGGACAAAGAATACTGCTCAGACAATTCATATGGACTTTTAATTGTGGGACATAATGTATTTACTTAATCACCAAAGCTATTACATGTTGCTCTATATCTGACAATCATCTTGGAGGTTATTATCTAAGCAGCAATGTATATATTTCTGTCTGCTTTGAGTCCATTATTTTTCTCTTTGAATGTTGTGTCAGCTTACTGAAAGGGCAAGGCTAAGCAAAGGTTTTAAGTAAAGTAAGCAAGCACATTATTTTCTACAGACAAGTGATTGAAGGGTCCAAAAGGAAATGGTTTGATACTTCTACAGTAATACTTCATAATATTTGATAGTCATCCATATTTTGGTATTCACAGATTTTATTCACTCATCAGTTTCATCTTCAGTTTAGTTTAAACCATGCAGACTGCTGATGGGTGACTTGTTGACACAGCTGTTGTGTTTCTGTCTGAACATCTGTTACCACAGTGTCATTCAAGCAGTTTTTTCCCAGAATGTGATGTCCAAACCCGAATGCTGGTGCTGAACCAGACTTTATATGACTCTGTGTTGTGGCAAAGTGAAATTGTATCTAATGCTGAAGGTCAGTGTGGTGAAGCTGGTTTGTACCACTGACAGCACAGTAATTATTTACTGTAAAGTCTTTTTTATGGGAATATTTGAAAAGTACGACTATGCTGAATATTTACAGCATGTTTTTGAAACAGTAGCTGGATCTTTGACTGTTTTTTTTTTTTTTTAATCATGTTAAAAATGACGGTTTATTATATGTTTCAATTGTTTTGAGGAATAATTCTGTAGCTAGTCCAGTCATCAAAATGGGGTAGCGGAGTGGTGAGATCGGGGCCTTTCCCACAGTCCAGAAACATGCAGCTTAGGTTGAATTGCAACTCTAAATTGTCCATAAGAGTGAGTGTGGAGGATGATTTGTCCAGGGTGGACCCTGCCACTGGTCCAGTGTCAGCTGGGATTGGCTCCAGCGCCTCCATGACCTTCTTCAGGATAAGTGGTATAGATGATGGATGGATGTAAAACTTCAAAATGCGCAAGAAGAAATTATCCATCCATTATCTATACCATTTATTTCTGAATAAATGGTTGCAGGTCGCAAGGGGCCTAGAGCCAATCTCAGCTGGAGAGGAAGGGTTCGCCCTGGACAGGTCGCCAGCCCATCACACTAAGAGACAGACAACCACATACACCCACATACACTCCTATGGGCCATTTAGAGCCACCAGTCAACCTAAGCTGCATGTCATTGGACTGTGGGAGGAAGCCGGAGCACCTGGAGAGAACCCACGCAGGCACAGGAAGAACATGCAGACTCCACACAGAAAGGACCCTGGTCACCCGGGGCTCGAACCCTTCTTGCTGTGAGGTGACAACACTAAACACCTCTCTGCTGTGCCACCAAAAATTATCTGCTTTTGCAAATTGCAGCTTGCATGTTGCACACTTGGTGAAAAAGGCCCCTAAATCACTTTCAATGCTGTCTGCAGAATACATTCATTAAGAGCAGCTAATACACTATCAAGTGTTTTTTTCCAGTTTTTCTGTTGTACTTACCAAATAAATTGCAGCTATAATGAGACTTTCAATATCAGTACATTACTATTATTAAATATTTCATACCCTCATGACAGAGATGGAAACATATTGGCTTTTTGAGAACTGTTTCTCCAAGTGACAAAAAAGTATGTTGATTTGTATCAGTGTCATCATAACCATTTTGTATACTTTTGTACTTTAAAATGTTTTACTGCAATAAAAACACATCTTATCTGTATAGTTGGAACTTTTTCCATTAACAGTAAGATGATGGTGTTTTTCTGTCATCGTCTACAAGTGAAGGCTGGCTTTGACAAATACCTGACGCCTCTAAGACTGAGGCATTTGGAACAAATGTTTTGAGTTAAAGGTACAGCATATCTAGTGTGGTACATTTGTATTCTCTCTCTTTTTTTTTAAACTCACATAGCTCTAGTTCAGTCTGGTTCACACACTAAACATATTTGCATAATAGCTCTGCACCACAGGGTTTCTTCTCATGCTTCTCTACAGTGTTTTGTATAGTGTCATATAATATCACGATACTGTGCCTGTAAAGAGAGAGTCCGTGTGACTCTGCTGTGGCAGGAGGCTACAGGAGTCTCCTGTGTAAATACATTGAAATGAGTTTCGGGTGTAGTTTTCAGTAAACAACAGCACTTCACACTTAATGGTTAACCTGCAAACTGTTGCTTAAATAAAATGTAGGAACCAGAAACCGGTAACTGGCAGATAAATGCTGTTTGATACAGTATGTGTACAGCTCATCACCAGCAGGTGGTGTAATATCCTTTATATCACAGTAGTAATGTCCCTGCCAAATAACACAACAGCAGCCTGATGTTTCCAATTAATGAGTAATACTGGAAGAATCTTACAGTGCTGAAACACAACAACCAGAGGACAGTGAATCATTACAGCTCAGTCTATGTTGGAGTACTTCTTTACATATACAAGAAGAAATATATGCAGTATGTAATATATGATTGATGAGGTTCCACTGTTTTAATTATTGTGCTGACAGTTTGGTGTGAGGAAGGTGCTTATGATCTTGTGGCTCAAAATTAAGCTATAAAGTTTTTACCAAACTCCATCTGCACATTTGTGACTATATAGACAATTAAAATGAAAGGAAAGTTCATACACAAATGTGCAGCTTTATATTGTTTTTGTCATTGCACTTTCTAAAACCAAAGCATCATAAAACTTCACTTGCGCTTAATGCAATTTAGTCAACTTGAGTCCCAAAGCAATTATTAGAAAAATAAATACACCAGATATGAAGTCCTCTGAACACAAAGGGGAAATGCTGTGTATGAATTCATTAAAGGGGAAGTATTTTTGTAAAGTATTGAAATAATCTCAGTATTTTTTGGTAAACAGATGAATAAATATCTATGAGACTTACATTTGTAGCAGAGATTTGAACACACGTCCCTTTAAAAAAAGCAGTTAAAGCATCTTTGGAAGAGTTACGGAACTCATTCCCTCTTTTCCATTTACCTGTTTTTCACATAGTAAAAACCACCTGGCTCACTTGTAGTTTTTGCAGTTTGTAATGACAGAAACCGTTTCACTTCAGCTGGTGAGATTTGCTGCCTTCTTTATCAAGTTCACAAGTATGTCTTTCTACTACTCCAAAAACTCTGTGTTCTTCTCAGCCTCACAACCTCTTCATCACAAAGTAGTATGTCCTAACAACTTTGACAAGTTATTAATCATGTAAACTATTAAAACAGTGCAATAGCATTTGTCACAAATTTAACTTATTTTATGAATGTGGTTAAACTATGGATTCACACTGCATTATTCTGTTTTGATCTCTATCAAAACGTCCTATTGCCCAATGCTAAAAACATTTTTCAAAACTAACTAAATTGTTTTTCTCAGACAAATCACACTCACAAAGTCAGAATTAAAAGCCTCTGAGTGAAGTATATGTTAAAATTTCATGTTTGAAAGTCATGTGGGCACAGCTCAGTTAAAAGACACAAAATTAGCACAAAGAGATGGAAAGTGATCCCAAAGAGGCACAAAAGAAGTACAAAGGGAAGCAAAATGGCCGCAAAGAAATGAAAAATTACTTTAAAGAACCATCAAGTGATCACAAATGAGACAAAAAGTGACTATAGAAATGAAAAAGGACTCACTAAATCACTAAAAACAGACACTACAAAGAGACACAAAACAACTACAAAGAGATGAAAAATGACCACAGAGAGACACAAACCTGCCAAAAAGAACCATTAAACAACCACAAAGGGACAAAACGACCACAAACAGGCACCAAACGACTTGAGAAAGTTTCCTTCAGTCTGGGGAGCCTATGGGAGGCTTCATCTGCTTTATTTTCTCATAATATTATAATAATGAGACTTGTTGCAGAATTCACTTCAGCTGAATTGTGTAAATTTTACCATGTGAACATGAAATTTCTTAAACAAAAATGATTAACGGAATCACAGTTAATATTTTAACAACACGTTTCCCCTGGATGATAAAATAAAAACTTTGCTGCCCTCTGGCGTCCGAAGCAGCTCCTGCAGCTGACACACACACTGGTGTGGCATTTAAGGCAAGTAAAAAATGTAAATTTCAGCTTCCTCGTGTGAAAAGACCGATTACCTAATATTTTGGTGGTAAATCCTGGTTTGTTTGTAATTCAAATACAACTAATCTACGGATCTTTCATTTGTGACTTCCTGGTGTTATTGGCGTTTAGTAAAATGCGAACTATCCAAGTAGCGTCACCGAGCGCTCCGACCCATATTCCCCAACTTTCCCATAGTACGTAAACGCAGCTCCCGCACCAGTCTGCCTTACATTGTTAACGTTGATTTCTCCGGTTCAGCCCAGCATTTTGTCTTCCGTGAGCCAAACCTGGGTCAAAGGATCCTACAAAACGCATGAAATCTCGGCTACATTTGGCAGCGGGACACACACCGTCATAGTGTAAGGCACTTTACAGTGCATTCATTCAATTTGCCTTTTTTTCTGAGCAAGAAAGGGCTAGTTAATAACGCTCGGCAAACGTAGCTAATGATAACGATTTTTAGTATTTGACACTGCAGAGGGACATACAGGGGCTTTCATTTGGGAAAAGCTCACTGATTTGGTTTTTACATCAGGGTTTCAGGGTTGTGTCTTTTTCGTGCACAGTTAAGATGACTTATACACCTGTCCAGGTCATTATTTAATTATCGAAGATATGACTTTACTCAGTTTTCCTTGTTGGACTAAAAGGAGGAGGAGTAGATTGCCGTGTTTCCCATGGCTACACCAAGCTTTCATGAAGGGTTATTTGCATTCCTAGCCAGCCAGTGCTGACATACTTAGGGTTATTATTACTAGTATCCTTTAAATTAGCAGCTGCTATAGCCCAGTAATTCAAACTGACACCCGGGAAAAGGATAAAGAGAGTAGGGAAGAGCAGCTCCAGCAGTCGTGACGTCGCCGTGAAGGTGAAGGTGCAGGTTCAGTTTCCTTTTGTTGACTGGACACCCACCTTTATCCCGCAACTCCAGTCAGGTTTCATAATCCGGGTCTAATGGGTTCTTTCTCTTCCTATTGATCTATTTCACTTGGTGTGGAAGCTCTAAGATGAGGAGGAGTGCTGGCCGGAGGCTGCTGGGAGGGATGATGTCGCTGTGAAGAGCCGGTGTGCCATTTCTGAGGACAAGCCTGTGGTCAAGGAGGGGACAGGGACGAAGGAAGTGCCTGGACAACATGACTGTTTTCAACCAGGAAAATGTGGCGGAATTTTATGAAATCGGAGACGAGCTGGGGAGGTAGGTTTTACTGGGGTTTATACTTGTTCTTAATTCATATAAACTTCCCCTTTTCATGGCTGAAGTGTGAGGAGGAGGGTGGGTGAGATACTGGGGAAACACCTCATGTTCAGCTCTGCCTTCAGATAATGAATAGGTTACATACAACCTCTTCAGGCTGTTCATATAATAGTCCTAAATAAATGTTTTCATTCTTTACTCTAGCAACATGGGTTTAATCAGTGCACACAAACATGAATGCATGCATCAAACCCAGTTACTCTGCCGATTATGTTTAGATGGACTGAATAATATATGATATATAATGTGTTGAAAAACCAGTTATAATTCCTCCCATCTTTAGGTGGTGTCTTTAAATGTCTTGTTTTGTCTGACGAGCAGTCCCACATCCAAAGATATTCACTTCACTCTCATTTATGACAAAGAAAAGCAGAAAATTGTCACGTTTGAGAAGCTAAAAATCCCATATGTTTAGCAGTTTAACTTAAACAATGACAAGTAATCAAAACAGTTGCAGATTATCTAATCCAGTTATTCCCAACCAGGGGTACTTGAATCCCATAGAAAGATACACAATTAATTTGAAAAAATAGAAATTGTGATTTGATATCCACATATTTGTGTTTAGGAGGAAAACCAGCCGACAAATAGGATTGCAAATTTCTGTGATACTGATCTTTAGTATAATTATTATCAGAATAATTTATCAGTCATAGCAGTTTGACTGCACAAGACTCGTTAATTTTTCACCACCCTGAGTGAATTCTTAGTTGATTAAGACTAGTTACAAAAAAAAGACAACAGAAAGGTCAAAGTAAATTTGCTGTAAATGGTTGAAACGTCCAGTTTCCGTGGCTCCAAATGGCAGTAGTACAAATACAAACTTGACCGAAGCTGCTAACAAAAAGGAAAAAGAGACCAAGTCTAAACAACCAGTCTTGTGGCCTCACATGCAGGAAGTGTTTTCTCTGCATGAAATACTATCAAGCAATACCATGAAGCCATTCCATTAATCAAGGGGGCTGTCACTGTGCTGCAGCGCTAGTTTTATTCAGTTTACGTGTATTAATCTTAAATATGTTCTCCGGCCGTGATGCATCCATCATTCTGCACATTGATAGTTTTGGTGCATACACTAGTTCAGTCTGTCACCCAAGCAATGCCTATGAGTAGGACATGTGTTCCCCCATGCTGACTAGGCTGTGATGAATACAGTCCATAATGCATTGTTGTCACAGATGAAGAGTTTAGTGTCTGTTACTGTGGCTGCCTTTGCCTGGAGATGTATTGCAGGTGGGGGCAGACGGTATCACTCTGCATCTTTACAGGGAGAGCATTTGCATCATGGCACAGCCTGGTTTCACCTCGTCCACTCTGTGTTTGGTCAAAGATGGATGTCAACTGTGAGGGTAAAGGACTGAATATAGATTAAATAATTTGACCAGACAGGTGGTTTGGGTCTTGTGGTTGTTTTTCATGTTTTACTAGTTGCCTGAATGATAAAGCAAGATGGTAACACAAAGGCTATAGAGTGATCCGTCGTCCGTGCTGCCCTGTTAGGTATAAAAACCACAGTGTCAGTGTCTTGTTCTCAGCTCAACTTTACTGCTGCATAGATAAAAAGCTATAACAGTATAGTAGAAATGACACAAGCAAACGAGTGCATTCATTCCCACGTTGGACTGCAGACGCCTTCTCATGAGACTGTACAAAACATGGAAATGGATCCCTGTCAGTTTCCAGTTATCAAAGTGTCACATGTACACCGTGCAGGTAATAATCAACCAGTTGTGTTCCGCTCTCCTGGGCCCGTCTGGCAACACTGCTCCTCCTTTCCCACACTGTGGAGGAGAGCTGATGTTGCTGTGGCTGCTTCACTATGCTGCTTTGGTAACAGAGACCATTGGGGAGCGTTGTGCACTGGGATTGAATTTCTGGCTGGTGGTAAAGAGACGCTATGTGAGTGTCTCATTTGGTCAGGATCCATTGTCTGTTGATTAGGTGAATAGAGAGTTTTAAATCAGGTTGCCTTCCATGTGAGGCTTCAACACTTGGAGGGTTGAACTATAGTAAACATTTTCTTTTCTGGTAAACAACATTTGAGTTCTTTTATAAAGGCAAGCTGTCCTTTTGAGTTGGCTCCAGTGGAGAACAGAGTATTACGCAAGTCTGTTTTTGGAAGGATGTAATTCCTTTATCGGACAGAAGTATCTGCTACTTGGAGGGAGCTCAAGGCTAATGCGTAATCTGAAGAAGAAATTTAGCATACTTTTAGATTGGTCATCTGTAAAATACTATAGACAGACTTGGTATTACTTTTGATTTGTTTTTGAAACTACATCTTGTTGATGTTTTTCTTTACCGTTCATGTCAAACCTCTCACAGCACAGCTATGCCCAGAGTTGACATTTATATTTTCAGATTTGTTCACCTAATGCACCATGCTTTAACTTGGATGAATTTGGGATTAACCAGTTAGTTTATGATAAAAGCCGGTGAAGCGGGGCCTGCACTGTAGATCTTCACATGCTATTAGACACAGAGCCTTTTGATCTGACTGTACTCCAGGCTGGAATTGGAACGTTGCCCATTGGCAAAGTGGGAAGTCACCCAAGCCGTGACACTGACAACTGGCTGCTTTGGTGTTTATGCATGGTAGAACTGCAGCCTGGTGAAGCTGAGCATCTAACTTTTATTAGTATCTAGACAGAGTGAGTGTGCAAGCAGTATAATGAGGAGGGGAGTGTGGAAGAAGCAACGCAGATGCAGAACTCGCTAACCAGAGGAGTTGGATAACGGTTATTTTTGAGCCACGTGTGCCATGTCATCTTATATATTCCTGTCTCAAAGTGTACCTTGATTGAACCACCTTGTCCTGGACTAGTATTTCTCTATACACAGAATACTGAATGTTGGATATGTAGGCAGATTTTTAGCAGCCCTGGAGGTGCTGGCAACTCGGACAACTAGGATTTTTACATGGAGGTTTAGCTGTTGAGCCTCCAGGTGATGCATCAAGTCGTTGCATTGTGGTAACCCCAATGCATCAGTGATCACATTCTCCCTTTTGAACGGTCTCCAAAAATGACCAGTTATGTCAGCTTTTGATTGATGAATTGCCCCCATTGCTGGTCTTCTACAAACACATGGCTCTAATAAGTCAAGACTGTGCTCTGTTGATCTCTCTAATTGCCTTACACATTGGCAGAAAATTCTCAATTCATGCCTGAGATCAGCAGGGAATTGCTGAAGACATTACAGCTACTGGCATCTCAGAGAATCCCTTATTTGATGCCTCTTCAAAATGACGGTGGAGTGAAGGGAGAAGCATCGTTGAAGCGTTTCATGGTTTCACTGTGGTGATTTGGTTTGCGGCTGTCGGACTGCGGGGATCAAAGCTGTATTAGAGCCTGTGTGGCCTGCAGTTGAGGAACAGCAGCACTTTGAAGGACAGGCTCTCAAACCTGTTTATAGTCCAGTAGTCAATGCATTGTGCGGTTTTAGAGCTGCAATGATTAATGGACTGTCAAAAAATTAAGTGTTTTAGATTTGAGCCACTTTTGAAGCAAAAATGCTTAAATATCATCTGGATTCAGCTTGTCAGATGTGAAGATTTGTCATTTCTTTTTGTCTCATTTCTCTGTGAACTGAAGATTTGTGGTTTAGAAACCGTGAAGATGTCACCGTGGGCTGTGGGAGACTGTAATAAGCATTTTTTCTTTTGTGATTTTGTTGATATTTAATGAAAAAAATACTCACCCGATTAAGTGATCATGAATATGATAGTTTACTGCAACCTTGGATTTCTTCATATCCCCATTTTCTTGCCAAAGACAAGTGTTCAGAGTTTACCCCAGAATCATATCAACTTTTAAATCATAATTTGAAAGAAAAACTGAAACCCAAACTAACTTCTAATGATGCCAAGGACCTCTCTGGCTTACCCCATGCTTTTTAGGGACTGGGAAAAATCGGTATCATTAAAAAGATATTGAGAGAAATTAAAGTCTAATTACAGATTTTACTAAGTATTTTTGCCTAGCTGTTAACATCGGCTGCAGACGGCACTTCGCTGGCTGATATCTGATCTTTCATACGGGGCCAATATCTGTCTAGAATATTAGCAAATGTTTATATTGGTCTAACCACAGCATGCAGTCATTTAGCATTACCTCAGGGCAACTTCAGAGTCTGCATCAAGAAACAAGCAAAGCAGAATTACTGTTGGCCTGTTTCCATGTTGTCATTTGTTTGGAGCTCCTCTGACTCAGCCACTCTCAGGCTGACTGTGGAATGATTTTAGTGTGTGCGTTTCATCTGGTCCTCAGGGCAGTTTTACACTTTGCGTATTTTTGCAGCCCTCTGCCTCTGCCATTAGTCTGCAATAATCTGACTACTCTGTGGTTGCTACCAATAGGCCCTCAATCTGTCTGTGGTGGGCGTCTGGGCATGTGGTTGCAGTTTGTAGAGGATTAGGGGTTGGTGTATTTCAGAAAGGATTCTACAGTGCAAATGAACAAACAGTGAGGGAGTGTTGTAGGCATGTGACAAGTCCATGTGAGTGGCTTCATTCACGATTCCGGTGTGTGAGTTTCCGCTGTGTTGCAGTGTTTTGGTTAGCCACGCTGCTAACGTAATTTACTCTACCTTAGCACCAATTTTACCACCAGTGTGTCGGCATCGATGGATAACACCTAACATCCAGTACTAACGAAAATGCATGGTGTGTCATTATGGTGCGTTAATTGTGGCCCCAATTTGACAGTGAGTAGAAATGAATGCTCACGTTAAGAGGGTAAACAAAAGAGTCTTCTTCCCATGGGCGTCCATGTCCCGATTGTCCCCCATGTGTGATTGGTCAATGCAGCGCCTTTGCCGGTTGATGTCAGCATCTGGTGTGCTGCCATGAGGGTGAAAATACGTAGCATCATTGGACTACTGATATCACGGCTTTTACCTTGACGAGGAATATTGCCATGTTTTAATATTGTAAGATCTGG